CCAGATGGCTAGGCCTCAGACTGACGAAGCCTCTTGGATGAGGGGCGAAACGTTTCTTTTTAACAAAAAAACGAAGTCCAGATGACATGATTCAACCTTTTTTGTTACTATTTTGATACTTTCTTATTTTTATGCTCCTTTAAGCTTTTTCTTTTGACTTTTCAGCTATTGGTGCATTTCAAGTAAGCTTTAGCTTGTTCAGCAGCTTTCAGCAAACTCGTTCAGCAACAAGCATTCACACTGCATTTTTGCAGGAAATGCAATTCCTCTGGTTTCTTCACTTTTCTCTTTTGCAGAGTCAGAGTAAAACATTTAATTTCCTCAAGCGCTGTCTGTCTCCTCTGACAGGTTGTAAGGTGAAAGTGGCTGCTACCTCAGCTGCAGCGGTGAGGATTGCTGCTAACGAAAGAGCAACTTGCATGTCTCAAACAATGTAACAGTATCTAAACGAGGTCAGCAGGACATCATCATCACCGCTGCTCCGCCTGATGTACCAACTGAAGCACCAGCAGCGATTTGCAAAAGCTGCTTTAGCTTTAAAACCCATGTGCTAACTCATTGCATGTTTAAAGTTACTACTGTCACTACATATAGTGGCAGTAAAGCAACAAATTCATCTTGGCATTTCTCCTTGACATTAAGAAACAAAAGACTTGCCAATTGAAGTTTAATGATGTATGTTTTGTCTCGTAATCTGAATCAGCCTTTCATGAATAACCATTATTTGCAGCAAAATCAAATATTTATTTCTTTATTTTACTCCACTCCACTATAGTGATGGTGTTTTCTATAGAGATGGTGTTTTCTAAGGTGCACAAAGCTCCTACAGTGTCTGTTTTATTCCATCATCTATGTGAGCAGTCTGGTGTGTATTGATAGGGAGGAGGGTCGCTGCATGAGCCCCGGCTGCAACAATCAGCGCCTCCCATATCCATTGATTTAAGAGTGGACAAGGCCTTTGTGTGGCCCTGGACACTGCTCTACATTGTAAACAGCTGTGACAGCGTGGAAATATTAGATAACACGAGTTCTGCATGTTTGGACGAGTGCAGGCTGTTTTGTATTCTGCAGTTTTTAATAAAGAAATTACAGATGCTCGACATGTTTGTCTGACAAAGCAGGTTTTCAATCAAGGACAAAGTTTCATTTGGCATGAAAAATACTTCCACATTTTCTCCGCGTTATTATGTTTCTGATAACAACATAGGCCCACAAGAGCCATGTTTCTGCAAACCACAGGTTGAAAAAATATTTTTCTGAATGGGTTAGGATGGTAATATTATTTACAATATGGCTTGGTGATGTCATGTTGTAGGACTGCACTTTTAAATGCAGCAGAATCACAAACGCAAGCCTTCCTTTCTGTCATCTTACCCACATATTGGTGATAAAAACTGTAATTCAACCCCTTTCATCTGCAAAGCCCCACAGTTATCTGCTGTCAATCAGAAACGATTGTGATGTTCTTCCAGGCTAACAGGCAGGGATGTGTGCTATTTTTGAGTTTAAATTACTTAAGTGCTGGTCTCACAACAAGCTTTTACTGTAGCCTCTAGATTTATTAGACTTGTATTGTGTAAGGTTGCTTTAATAATCTATTTATTTATGGATATTTTTGTGAAGGTAATTAGGTATAGCACTGATTCTTAAAATAAATTTCCCAGAGAGAACAAGAAAACACAGGATTGCATTGTGGAGATTGTACTTTAATGTTTTGTACCGTATCATATTCTTTGTTGTGTTCCATTGCACTGCATTGTATCGTATCATGTTGTATTGACTCGTTGATTCGTGAAACGTGGCCGTATTTTCAAGTGGTCCATTGTTGTGAAGAAAAGAGAAAGAGCTGAGGCTAATAAATGCAAAATTTAGTACTTTGTATTTTTTTTTCAGCAAATATTTCATGTTTTGTAACATATTCAAAAAAACATTGTAAAATAAGGCTTAGGCATGCTTTATTTAACCAGTACAATCCTTTATAAATTGGTAAACAGACATGGACTTAACTTTATTCAAAAGTAGTTTTTATAAACTTGGTCTTTATTCTTTGTACAAAGCTGTTTTCAAGGGCCACTTTTGGTTGCACGGTTTATTTTTGTATGTATGACTGGAAAGAAAACCAAGCTACGCTCTACATAACCTAATGGACTTTTAGAACATGACTGATTGAGAAAAAAGGGGAAATCTTCAGTGTGAACAGAAACAACATGCTGCTGTACTCAGTACTCACCAATCTGGGTTTTTCTGCTATTTTCTGCCTCCACACTATAAATCCTGTGCCCTCACCACACTTGTCAAAAAGCACAGAGAGGAACTGGAAATGCCCTCTGTCCATCCAGCCAACTTCTGAGCTGGGTAACTTGAAAAATACGTAAGTGAGGTACTGACTTCCATTTCAGTGTGAAGCTGCATCTAGGTGTAAGAAAGGTCCCTATCAAAAATTGGGTTGTTATACACACATATACACACGTCTTACTATAGCAGCGCATTCCCACGGTCATGCTACCACATAAACCCACCAATGCACCATGACACAGGCCCAGACTTCTTGCACAATTTTCTGAGAAATTCCTGCAGCAAAATGCAAAAATAGGATGATGATCTGATATCAGGTCGTTTCGATAACCATGTCATATGATCACGGTCCCATCTTCGGCTTTAGGCCTTCATGACCAGTCCTGCTTTAAGGGCTTAGCAACCACCTTCCATAGTCTGCTCCCTTCTGGGGTCACCCCAGAAAGCAAGTTTACACAAAAGATTTGGCACTTGTTTCACATCAGATCGCCCTTCCTGACATAATCTGGGCTTGATACCGAGGTACTGACCACCGAGCTATCGTACCGCCTTATTAAAATTAAAATAAATTAATTTTAGGAATTATTGAAGGGCAGCACGGTGGAGCAGTTGGTAGAGCTGCCACCTTTCAGCGAACATGTCGCCTCAGTTCAAGTCCCAGCCAGGGACCTTTCTGGGTGGAGTTTGCATGTTCTCTCCATGCATGCGTGGGTTTTCTCCAGGTACTCCAGTTTCCGACCACAGACCAAAAACATGCATGTTAGGCTGATCAGTAACTCTAAATTGTCCCTAGGTGTGAGTGAGAGAGTGAATGGTTGTTGGTCTCTGTGTCCCTGTGATGGACTGAAGACATGTCCAGGGTGTCCCCTGCACCAGTGGATGGGCCACCAGGGACCCCGCGACCCAAAAAGAAAGGTACAGGTAAAGATAATGGATGGATGGAAATTCTTGAAGATTCTCTCTTAATGACCTAATGAAAAAAAACTACACGTTTTGCTCTACTTTAAAGAATATAATCCTGAAATGCTTCATAAAGCTTCAAAAACACACTAAACAGTATTGATGTTTATTGCTGGAGGCCGTTATTGGTCATTTTATAGCTGTTTTTAATAAATTTCCAAATTGGAAAGCAGCCAGACATTGACACAACAAAATTGAGAAAATATGATCATTTGAATGAATTTAATATGAGTTGGTCTTTTTTCTTCCACGGATTCTGCTCAGACATTTAAGTTCAAAGAGGCATGAAGCTTTCTTTGACAGGTCAGGAGAGAGTACTCCCACACACTCCTGGTTTAGACACATACACACAACCAAGCACATTCATTCAACCTTTATTTAGACAGGAAAATCCCACTGAGCCTCGAGGACTCATTTACAAGAGAGACCTGATTTCAACAAAGAATGATGACAACAACGGACAACAGCGAAAACAATAGACAGTTATAAAAAGGCATACAGATTTATTTTTTTAAAACCAATAAGATGGCTAAAAAAAGAAAAGTAACAAAAAACAGCTAGATTCTAAGGTGAATGTAAAAAACTAAAAACAGGAACATGTCTGCATTGGTCCCTGCCAGGAGTCCAACAGATTCTTAAAGCCACTTAGAGAGGTCACGGTCAAGAGCTTCAGGTCTTTTTGTAAAATTTTCCATACCATACCACTTTATTTATAAAGCACTTAAAACAGCGACAAGGCCAACTAAAGTGCTGTACAGACAAAACAACAGGTAACAGACAAAGCAATATACAAAATGAGGTACATCAGAATATAGACATAAAAACGATGCAGATAATGACGACAAACCAGTGTGGAGCGTACAGGATCAAAACACAGATCATCTGGTGTTGAAAGCTACTGAATAATAGTGGGTTTTTAAACGGGACTTGAAAACCGAGAGGGAGGAAACAGGAGCGGTAGCTCCAGGAAACAGGAGCAGAGCAGGAGAAGGCCCTTTTGCCTAGTTCAGTCCTCACTGAGGGAACACTGCAGGTAATAATGCCCTGAGAGCGCACGCTGTAACTGCACTCACGCAGAGACATGTAGGAGGAGATGTATGAAGGCAGCAGACCAAGAAGTGATTTAAAGATGAAAATGTACCAGTGAGAGAGTCTGCATGAAGTTAATGATGTCCAGTTAACCACTGAATACAGGGTGCAGTGGTGGGTACGATAATCACAGCCAGTTATGAATCTTAGTGCACCATGATAGACAACATCCAACATCTGCAGGGTTCTTGTAGGAGCGTTCATGTAAATAATGTCACCGTAATCAATGGAGGGAAGGAAGGTCACAGATACAAGGCGTTTCCTACTGTTCAGAGTTGGACAGGATCTGTTTCTGAAAAAGAAACCCAGTTTAACTTTCAGTTTCTTTACCAAGTTTTCCACGTGGAGCTTAAAAGAGAGATGCGAGTCGACCAAGACACCCAAATATTTATAGGAATCAACAAACTCAATGGGGACACCATTTGAGGATAAAATCAGAGGAAGAACTGCTGGGACCGACTTCCTGTTTGAAAAAAAGCATCCTTTTGACATGACATACCCAGTCATACAGGCCCTGTGCTGGAGGTCACTAATAAACGAGCATCCCACTATAAAAGTATGTATTGTCCTCATGTGTTTACCTCTCTGTATCTCTTCATAGTCGGTCTGTCGCTTTGAATTCGTTCCAATGGTTAGTTCAGTCGTTGCCAATATGTGATGACGAGATGATTGCTCCTGGCTATCACTTCTGTCAAAGGGTATGGCCACAGGGCAAACGGCAGCTGCAGTAACAGGTGATTAAAGCAAGCAGGCATATTGACTGAGGGCGTTTCATTAAAGAAACTGCAGCACCATTCGTCATCGACCATGGACAATAAATTGATCGGTGTCGCGCATTGCTGGAATCTCCTGATGAGCAGGGAATGAGCGTAGAGGCAGTATTACAAAAGAAACAGAAAGGGGCAGTGTGATGGACCTGATGGGTTTGGGTTTGATTCTTTAGTCAATTATGTCTGTGATTCCCTCACACAGATGAATTCCCCAAGTGTGAGGCAGGTCATCTCATTACTGCTCACTGAAAAATC